CCAAAGGGAATAAATATATATTCCCAATTTTCCCAGGGAATATTCCTAGGAACATTCCTTTGGGAACAATTCCCAGTAGGAATTTTCAACCCTAGTTAGTGATGAAAGAGTGTTAATGTTTGGTATATCACAAACTTATTTAAATATTGTAATGTGAAAATGAAACTAGTTAAATTAGTCATCAATAATTAATTATTTAAAATATTAAAATGTTTTGTATAAAAAACAGCATAATCAATTAGAAATAGCCTTAAAAGTTTGTGCTGGGTTGAAAAGTAAAACACTTGAATTTGGCGTTATGTTTATAACCCAATCACATGGTTAGACATATACCACTAAAACTTTGGCGCAATCTGATTGGCTGTGGCATATATGGGCCTTGTACAATACAGTGTTTGAATGTATGAGCATCATGTAAACAATAAAACAATAACAAAACAAATATACATGTAATGTTTATCTAATTTATTATGCAATTATAATAACGTGTGTTTTTTAAACTACTGTTTCGTGTATTGAATGTTATAATAGTTGTGCAAATAATTTGTAATATTTTGTAAAAATGTCTGAATTATTAGAAAAGTTTACAATTTGTGACAATATTTCGACAAAAATTAAACAAAACATTAAAAAATTACACGTTTTTAATGATGGGAAACAAGGATTGAATGTATTATTTATAACATCCGATGATATGGTCTACGGATTCGGTAATAATAGTGAGGGATGTCTGGGTTTGGGACACAACAGTCCCATACCATCACCGGAACTGATCCCAGAATTATGTCACCAAAACATACAATACTTCGTGAATGGCATGAATTTTGTGATAGCAGTGAATGCCGTGAAAAATCTCTACGGTTTCGGTACCAATACTTGCGGCCAATTGGGACGCAATCCCGAAACTCACAGAAGTAACCAAAAACCAGAGCTGATCCCCTGGTTTACTGATAAAAACGTGGTACAAATCAGTTGCGCTTACGTACACGTACTGGCGCTCACCGGCGATGGCCGGGTGTTCTCCTGGGGTGGCAATAGTTTTAGTCAACTCGGGTGCGGACACCCGACCCAAGGGTGGGAACACATGTATATACCGATCGGCTTTCAATTTGAATACCCAATACAATCGGTGTATTGCTATACTTCCACGTCGTTTGTCATCACATCCAGCGGACATGTGCTCAGTTGGGGTGATAATAGTTGCCACCAATTGGGACACAATATAAGTGGTGTTATATTGAAACCCAAAGCAATATCAACGATAAGTGGTGTAAAAGCTATCACTTCCACAGAGTTTAGCACAATATTTCACACGACAAACGGTTTGTACTTAAGCGGACTCTTTGGTGATATGACTAAACCAATTAAAAGTCCTAAACCAATACCATGTAAACTAGTTGTGCAACAGATGTTGCAAATTAATTCATATATTGGTGATAATAATGAATACACGTGTGTTTTAATCAACAATAAGGTGAAATTAATATCAAAGGATTTCAAATTAAATGATACAAAATATAATAATTTTGTCGACTTTTACGCCAATGAATGTCAGATTACTTATGAAACAATTGATTTGAAACAATGTAATTATATTAACGAAATTAATGAAATTGAAACTATGTTAACATCGATTGACATTAAAAGCGAAAATAAAAGTGAAAATAATATCGAAATTAAAAGTGAAAATAATAGCGAAATTAAATGTGAAATTAAAAGTGAAAATAATAGCGAAACTAAAAGTGAAGTTAAATGTGAAAATAAATGTAAAACCAAAAAGAAACGGAAAAATAAAACTAAAATTGAAGATAAAAATGAAAATAAATTAAATGATAATTCAAGTGAAAGTAATTATAACAACCAATTCATTGAGAGTTCACCCATAGGTTCGGGTGGTTTTGGGACTGTATTTAAAGTAACGCATAAATTGGGCGGAAAAATATATGCCGTTAAGAGACTACAATTTGCGGGTAATAATTATAACTTAACTTAATTTTATATTTAATTAACAATTTTAAGTCTAATAAATATTTTATAAATTATTTTTACAGATAGTAATGAAGATACAAAACAAGGAGTTCTCGAAGAAGTCAATAGTTTATCAAAACTGGACTCAGATTTTGTGGTCAAATATGAAGATTCATATCTGGAGTCCAATCATCTCTACATTCAAATGCAATTCTATTCGCAAAGTCTTCGAACTGTTCTCATAGACAAAGCCATTGTCTTCGGGAGACAACCAGAAGACCAGATGACTGTCTTTGAATACTTTACTTCGTGTGAAATATTCAAAGAACTCTTAGAATGTGTTAAATATCTTCATGAATCGGATCCACCGGTCATTCATCGGAATCTCAAACCCGAAAACATATTATTTGATCCCAACTTTACATCCAATCGTTGTGTAAAACTGTGTGACTTTGGTTTAGCCATTGATCACAATATCCATAGACAGACTGTCAGTCCATTTGTTCACACAGTTTGTGGTACTTTTGGATATATAGCGCCCGAAGTACTTATGGGTAAACAATATGACCACAAATCAGACATTTATAGCCTCTCTATAATCGGCGAAGAGTTGTTTGGCATTGATCTCCAGGAGTGAGTATTTTATTACTATTTAAATGTTTAATATTTATTATAATTATATTTTGTATGAAATAATAGTTGGAAATTAATTGAAGCGAAAAAGTTGTCGTTCAAAAAATGCATACAAAGCATATACGGGACACTTCTGGATATGATGTCAACACCTTTTTGGCGACAAAGGCCTGAGTGTCGGGAAGTGTTGGCCAAACATAACGAGTGGTCTATCGATAAGACTGTTGTCACGAAACAAAACAATTTTCATGAAGTTTTTAATACACTTAAATCTAATGATAATTCAGTTTTCTATGAAATTCTGTTTCGCAAAACACAATAATATATGATTTATCACTTTTTATAAACAATTAATTTTATTTTAATTATCATAAAACATTTATTAAATTCCTT